CCCTTTCTGGGGCTGCTGTTTGGTAACGCCCCCAAGCTTAAGAACAGTTCTCAACAGGGACTGTTCTCAAGATTGTACTTACGTCTAAAAGATAAAGCTTTTCGTTGTATAGTGATTTCGATTTCGTAAATTATTCTCATGTTTAAAAGAGCTATCTAAATAATGTAAATCTAAATAGTGTACTTGATCTTTGAGTGTCTTTTTAACTTTCTCGCGTTCTTAGTTAAGAGAAAGTACCTATTGTGACACTGGATATGTCGATCAAGAGATTTTAACGGATTAGTACGTTTTAGTTACTAATGAGTGAGAAAGGTTTCCTCTTTTTCTTATAGAACATCGTCTGTTTGTGCGCGCTTTGACAACGGCAGAACGGGTTAGTTAATTTCTTCTGCTTTTTTACCCGCCTCTCATTCTTGTTCTCTGTCGCCGTGCTCTCTTAGTGTTCTGGTTCTCCTTCACCTTCTACTCTCCATTGCATTCCTTTTCTGTACGGAGAATGTAACTTGTGATCCGTTGTTTCACCCTACAAATGAAAATTTTTCAGCACTGGGAATTAAATCCAACATTATTAATTTATCTTGAATTTCCTTTATGACTGTGCACTTCTTCGTCTCATACAGCGGATTTGTTAGTAAGTTAATTAGTGCCGCACTTCACAAATTTGGCATCGTGCACAGAATAGTTCAGATATGCACATTTCTTGAAGTATCCAATGACCTTTAAAACAAAACACGAAACAAATATTCAAAATACATATTTCGTTATTGGAAATATTGTATTTCTTATACACTACTTGTCTCTAAGAACAATAAGATTGAGGCCGCAAATAAAATCTAGCTCTCTGAGACACGCGGCCACTGAGCGAGGGTCATATTTTGATCTGCTCAGTGCGAAAATGCCTCAGGAAGCCAGTAGTTGAACAAGATGTACACACGAAAGTACTTTGAGCCCACAGTCCCATTGGCTGAGCATATTCATTCATGAGAAAGCTATCATTCTCCCACCGACCCCTTTCCCCTCGGGTCATCTAATTACCGAATCTAAAAGAGTGGGGGACCACTGCAGAGGTAATGAGTTCATTCGTACTTTCATTGTAGAAGATACCACGCTTCTCACTTGGTACCCTTTCACCCCAGCAGAATTAAACAGTTACTAATGTAATCAACTATTCTCGGCGTCAATGAAGTAGAAGGTCCAGTTTTATTAGGCAACTGTTTTTGTGTAGGCAGGGTATATGAAAATGTATCTTCGAGAGATGTGCTGTGGACCCGTTTTTGATAAAATTTATACGTTTCAGTTTGAATTACATGTAGCCTACTGATTTATACCATTTTAGGACCAGCAGGAAAAAAAAGAGCTAAAATTAGGTCACAACTTTTCGTACAGGCGTCGCCAACACCAGAATTAATCAAAGTCCAAACCTTAGTTGGAAAATTCAAGTGAACTGCTAATGACGTCACGTTTGAGTGCAATGACTATTTTAAATTACTACTGAAGTGAACGTTTATCATAGTAACCTCCAATCCATAAACGCAACTTTTTCCGTGTTTGTCCAGTAAAGAATATGTAAAGTGTTCGTTGAAATTGTCTGGTGAGAATGAAAGGCGACTTGGTTCGTCAATACGGGAGACATTTATAGGTGCATGAGTAAACGGGTTCAAAATATTTCCCGAGGTTGTCACGGCGCAAAACTAATTACGGTCGAGACAGTTTGAAATTCGGTATCAGACGGAAGCCCTGGAACCTTGCTTGTAGTAACAGAAAGGGAGGATAGAGGTCGCCTCAGCCAAACCGGTTGTAGTGTGTGTGTTTTTTTTAAGTTGGCTGTCCTGCCTCTTGTACGCACAGTTCGCGGTCAACACAACCTTCGCGACGGACTCTGGTGCCCCATGTTTCAACAATAGGTTGTGAGGATACATGTTAATTACTGACTTAATGTTTTTAAACACAACTGGACGAAGAAGCCACAGGCCACGTTCCTGTTGACGTAGACGTAGAGGCGTGTGTGTCGTTATTTATTTCTGAAGTTTTACATGAAAACCAAAACGTGTCTTATTTTATTTGTGTGAGCAAGTCACCGTTTGATATGAAGACGGGATGAACTACAGATCATCATGGCCACATACCGGGATCTTCATTTTGATTGGTCAATGCTCTGCCAGGAATGTACTGATTGCTGGACAGCCTCAGGTAATGGACAGTATATTTACCTGTTATGACCTTAATTTTTTTCTCACTCTTCCATTTGGCCGAACTTTTCGTTTAGATAAGACAGTGAAATTATTTCTGTTTATTGGATGCAACCCAATCAGACTTAAAATTCAGTGGTTAAGTATGTTCATGTAGTAGTGTGTATTTCACTTCGAGAGGATATGTTTTGCGCAACTTTACAGTTCACTGACCAAAACTTTAAGCTCCTTAACGACAACACGTCTTCTCCACACGTAAAGGAAAATTTCGTGTTTCACCTATTCTTAATCAGGTCCCAGGCAAACCAAACATCGATTAGTTTAACTAATGCCAACCCAACATGTTTAGAGAATGGGTGTCTTTGAATAAGAGCGAACCGTTTTTAGTGACACTGGGATAGAAGTGTCTGTTGATGAATACGTCTGAACGTCCTGCGAGAAAAAGTGACTGGTATTTTACAGTTTTCTAAAATTAAGGTAGACTGCATTATTCGATTTTTTGTTTTACAGAAAAGCTTATTTGTTCTGGATATCTTAAACGAACAACTACTCATTGCCCTTTTCGACCCATCTGGAAAGTGCTGTCTGGCTGAGGGCTTTATCCGGCCAGTATGTTCCTATAATTACTGAGCCAAGTCAGATGTGAAAATAAGTATTAATTTGGTCATATTAACTGCCTTATTTTTCTCTCTAGTCGAATGTCGGGTATCGTGAACAAGGCGCGGTCGTCTGCTTCCAAACCCTTATCAGCTCCACATTTACGAAAATATTCCCAGATTGTTCGATGATATAAAACCTCAGTCGTTGGAAGAGCATCATAAAGTAACCTCGCTGTAAACCAGTTAGTCAAGACTCTTATTCTGGAGGTGCTTGGTTCAAGTTATGGAAAACACACTACCTTATTCGACACTGTAAAACATCTGCAGTTAGAACAGCGTCGTTAAGTAAAATAATAGTCTCTTAAATCCATTAGTTGATTACGTAGTGATATCAAAATCGAATGGTCCCCATTTGTCTGCAAGTCACTTTGCTTCGTGTGTGAGGTGGTGGGTTGATCATTGTTATTCAGACCAGGCTCGGCTTTTATTATATCCCACTTTGACTCGCTGTAACAAGACAGGTGGCACTTGCGTCATTCTAGAACTTGGTATGCAATGGTAAACAATTTATGCCAATTTTGTAACGGTCTTCGGGGACCATAACTTATGTCCACTGGCAACTTCTAATGTTTGCCCTTGTTTCTTACATCGATCAGCCAACACATTAATGTTGATTACGTAAAATGTCGACCTATTAAAATCCGCAACTATAATTTAAAACATGTTTTGCCATGGTGGACATTTAAAAGTAACCAGTTCTATTGTTTTTCGGTATAACATTTTCTAGGTAGTTCTCTTCTTGAGACATGGGGATTTAACAGCTGTGAAGATGTGGATCGTAGTTTTCATTGTAATCATCTACCCTGAAAATGGCGAAGAGAAATTTCTTCGAAACGTCTCTATCCACCTACAGTTATTGCACGGCGTCATAACCCGAAAGACCACGATCTACAGTTCTCACCTGCCCGATGCATACTGAATATCCCAGTCAAGTCAGTAAACTAAATTTAGAAGGAAACGAACTGAATACAGTTCACTCACTTGCAGTTTCTTACAGACGATTTATTTCGAAACCTGTCTTGTCCCATTACGGCTAATGCACATGTGCCCGCTTTTCGTAACAATGACGGCGACAGAAGTCTGAGCCGGAGGAGACAATAGCTGGACCAGAAGAAGGCACATGGCGACGTAAGTGTCGGTGATATCGGTGACCCTTGGTAAAACTCGCCAGGGATGTTAGAGCCGAACCTTATACAAGTTACTGTAGAAGAAAAACTCTGTTTTTCTGTCATTTATTCGTAAGAGTTAAAAAGTTGCTTAGACCGAAGAGAAACGTATGCCACTTGAAAGAATTTATCGCCCCCGAGAACCGACTGACAGTGAAAGGCTGTTCGTGTTCCTAACCGTTCAGTGAAAATCAAGACTCAGCTTTTCGGTGCCAGAGGTCTGTGGAGCGTTCCAAATCCTGCACTTCGCTAAACGATAATAACTAAATGAACTTCATCTCACTTGTAGGCTTGTATATGAATTTCAAATACATGCTGTACTACAAAAAGAGGGAAATTTTTGTTATGTATTTGCATAACAAATGCTGATATTTAACACTAAATGCTCACAAAATAAACCGAATAGTCAAATTTATACTTATTTTCAGTTTACCTATCTGTCTGCCTTCTACAGCTGGTTAAAACCCGACGTAAATTCTGCTATTTGCCATTTGCTCACCTCACATCTGAAACCGAAATTTAAATTGAACTTCGGTTAGGTTAATCTGTGTACTGGCGGAGACATATTGTTCACTTTAGTAGTAGTATTTGCAGAATCTTGATTCAGTTTTCATTAAAGTTGTGACAGTTGTTCGACGTCAGACATGTCTAATAGCTGTATCTCCGTTCGTGAGAATTGAGCACACTGCGTGAGACTGTTACCTTTTCAGCAAAATAGTGTTCCCTCCTACCGCTTCTTCTGACTTAACAAAATTTAATATTGTCCAGTTATGTTCCGCTTCTTGCATTATGATTGCAGCTTTCGTTGATGTAAATATTCTGCTTTATATAGCTTGATCATGCGTGACGAGTAAATGAGCAGGCCTGCTGTCTGACAATCAGGAACTGACATTGGGTTACAGATTTCCCTGTTGATACGTGTAGAGATTCAAGATCTAAGAAACGTGCCATGATTAAGTGGTAAGTCAGGATTTCAGGTTTTCGCGACAGAGGATGATCTGGCTTTTGGCACTCTGTAGATTTGTCGGTAGATGCCAACGTTTGGGAGAAACATACTGTTTCCATCTTCGGAGCTGAAATGGCGATGGAAAGCTCTGAAAAAATAATCAGTTAATTTAGAATTATATTAAGGCACTAGTCTTCCATGTAAAAGGACTCGGGTTTGAGACCAACCGGAGTGAGTGTTTTTCCTCATCTATATCCATGTTATAACTTTATGTATACGGGAAATATCAGGCCTCTGTCGTGGTTCGAATCCCACATTAAGCTGTAAGACCCTCATGGCCACCATGGTCATCTGCTATTATCGCGAAGGAACTGGAAATCTCTGGGGTGTTCCTGTTCAATTCGTACATGCCCTTCCCTTCCCTTAGGTCCAGGCTTGATAAACACACCTGAAGGAACAAGCCATAGATAAATACGTTTCTGCTGAGGTATTTAATAACCTCCCTGCTCTGCGGAATAGTCTCGTTCACCTGTGATTGTAGTTCGTAAACAAGAAGTACAACCAGATAGAAATAGTCCCGGCCGCATAGTTCGTCCGTCCGTCCATTTGAATGACCTCCGAGTAAAACAGTGCGTGCCAAGCGGTAAGTAGTTGCCAACACCTATGTGATGAGGAATGTACAGAACTGAACAAAGTTCTTGGCATCGTTAGGCTGCCAGCATACGTGTGTTCCATCTACGAATGGAAGATGGCAAGTCAATATCTTGAGGTACATCGGATGTTTATCAACATGTCAACAAAATAGCAAAGTCGTTTTCCAAATGTGCTTTTTATTCTTAATGCTTGTTTATGGGCCTCATCTCTAAAATACTTTTGGTTAGTGTCGAAGTACGTAGTTTTTTTGTTTGTCATATCCAAGAGATGCAAATTCGTGTATCTTTGTCAGTATCGACCCCAGTACACATTCGTAGCGAAGTTGTTTGTAGTTGAAACATACAGGCAAACGGGAAGCCACGCATGATCTCAAATAATTTTTTTTACTACAGTGACTTCTTTAAAAATACGCTAAAACAATTCCTTCGTAAGCTGAGCGGAGTGGTACGGGTAACACATAGCAGGTGTATAGTCCACCCAAACATCAAGCAAGTGTTATTGGATGCATGCCTCATAGGCGCCAAATAACGAGAGGCCGTGAATATGAAATAGCATGATAGAGAGTGGATTATTCTTTAACGTTGTTTTAATTATGTTAATTTAACTGCTGAAACACGAGTTTAAATTATGCTAAATATTAATTTAAGTGTATGTTCATGACATTGTACTCGAGTGTCATGCTGTGAACATGAACTTCGAAGATGGCTGTCTTCTGGGTTGTTGCGCCGTGTAGTCTGGTAGACGTTTACCGACTTTTTAGAGTTCCTTTCCGCCTCCATCATCGCCCTGATGATGGAGGCAGCAAGGACTTACGAAACGTCGGTAAACTTCTACCTGACTACATGTCGCTACAACCTAGAAGACAGCCATCTTCACTCACTACTGTAAAAACCTCAAATCCTGCTTAACTTTAACTTCAGTTATTATGCATGGCATCTGCAGTTGAAACAGCATCCTTAAGTAAGCCAGGTGACAGTAAGTATTATAAACGTGTGCACACTAGAAACAGAAATCTTGGGTGTGTAAGATTTGACACCGAACTTCGCGGTTGGGTGACTTAACTCTTCTGATTCGAGGCCAGGAGATTCTGTATTCAAAATATGATACGGCTGCCTTGTTACACGTACTCTTGAATTCATAATTGACACTTATCTTGTGATTCAAAGCATTGTAGCCTAAGCAGCTGGGAGGGTGTCATTATGTAACAAGAATCTAACTTAACTTTAAGTAGAGTTCAACATCCCAGCGCTTTGGAGAAATCGGTATTCCATTTAAAGCAGGTTATAGCGAAAGGTGTGTCTGATATACTACAGTAAGTCAGTTCAGTGGCGCAAACCTTGATATGTCTTTCTGTATGGAACCCTCGTCCTTAAGCAGAAATCTGTACATCCATGTTTTTCAGTCATCGTGGTTCATGATGATTCTTAGGTTCTTTTGCATGAATGAGAAGATGACTATGAATGGCAAGTAGATGAGAAATTTGTCCGAAGGGACTGAGGAAGACAATGAATAAACTCTGCAAAATTAGCTGTTATGCCGCCAGTTTATCAACCGGATTCCTCCAGTGCAATTCTAG